CACACACACACACACACACACACACACACACACACACACACACACACACACACACTGAATACTTTTTGAGAGCTTCATAAAATCTGTTCACTGGTTCGTTTAACTCGCTTTTACTAAGCCGTCCTCATGAGGCAGTAAAAGATGTAAAAACTGTTAAATGCTGCTTTTTTTCCTCTGAGCTGTTTGTATTTTGGCAACGTGAAGCCGGGGGGCATTCCAGGAAAACACACAAAACTGGATATTTTACTTCTTAACTGCAAGCTTGAATGATGTTTCCTGGTTTTCTAAGCGAGTTTCAGCAGTTAAACATTAAAAAAATTCAAATGTTGTTGCACAGAAGTTGTGTTTTTGTGATTGGAAATAAAGTRTTTTCCACCCACAGTGTGTAAGTTTAGTGTTTTGCTGTAACAGTCGTTGTGTTGTTGACGTCTCTGATAATAACTCAGAATCTGCTGGTAAAAWTTCAAGGCATAATTAAAACTCTGTTTGTTTTCCTCACAAAACGTTTCTCAGCAAAACATGATCATGAGAGGCGGCGGGTGATAAGCATTCCTTTAGGGGGGTCCAAACATTTTGTCTCATGGGCCAAAATCATAAAGTCAGAAGGACTTCAGGGCCAAAAATATGATTCCTTTACCTGCACAAAAATAAACTAAGCATTTAATACTTTAATTAAACAAATAAAGTAGTCAGATTTATTGTTGGAAATAGATGTGTAAATTAATCTAGATCCAGAACTTTAAAAGTGTTTTGAAGGTTTCCCTTATTGAAAGAAATTTTGTAATTTTCTATGTTTCAGTTGGGAAAAAATAACCACATTTAGTCAATTCTGATCAATAAAACCAGGATTTAGGTCACTCTTTTGTTGAAAATGCTTGCTGTATTCAGATGAATTTAATAAATTAATTAAAAGCAGATTGGAGTGCAGAAAAATCATCTTTTGAGAAGAAGTCATTAGATAGATGTGGAAAAGATTTTGATTATTTAAAGACAAATGGTTTGTTTTGTTGCCAATATTTTTATTATAAGATTTTACTTTGTCTGTGATAAATTTGCCGAAATAATAAATAGAAATTCTCCATCTACATCATGTGCCGGGGGGACAAATTTGTCAACAAATTAGTCTAATTCTTGAACTGAAGTCAGGGGCCACTCAAAATCAGTTCAGGGACCATAAATGGCCCCAGGGCCACACTTTGGACATCCCTGTTTTATAGAATATTAGGCCTTTCATTTTTTAATTGGCTCACAAGTTAAACCTTATTTAATCATAATAAACAAATCAATTATGTGTATTTTAAATGATAAGTTAGATTTGAGCATCTTGTCCATGACTCCGCCTCCTGCAGGTGATTGGCTGTGCTGCTGCGCACTGATTGGCTGCGCGTCAACCCTATCCTCCAGGTAAAGCTCACCTGAGATGTTAGAATCCTCAGGAGGGTTGTGGATTACGTCTCGTCTGCAGCAGAGCTCTGGTAGAGTCCGGACGGATCCAGGCCTGTGCAGATTAAMAGAACCGAGTCTCCGGAAGAGAAAAGAGTCAAAGTTGGTCTGAATGGCAGCGGGTGTCGGACTGGCCATGAATCCGCCGCACGTGACGGAAGAAAGGGCGGTTTTYACGCAGCTCAAACCGGTCAGGATGTCGGCGGCGGACGGAGCTGAGGATGCGTCCGTGTTTGAGGACGCCAAACCCGGGGTGCGGATCTCCGCCAACGCGCTGACTCCGGCCGGGCTTCAGGTGAGCTGCAGGCCCCCCATGCCCCCCCTCATCCACTTTTTATTGACTCTTTACATGTTTATGTGGTTCAGGTTGGAGCACAGCTCAGTCTGAGCTAAAATACCTGCGTAATTACCTGAGCAGCTCACCTGGAAAGGCGGGTTAAAGTCCTGAACTGACACCTGCCAGGTGCTCACCTGTAAGATAGTGCAACTTATTGCAAAGTGTTTTTTGTATTATTTTTTTATTATTTTATTTTTAGATGAGTGAAACTGAAATATTTTTCTAAGATTTTAATAATTAGAGCAAGAGTCTCCAATCACTGATCAATTAATACTGAGCTGCACAGAAAAGGTCAAAGAAAAAACAGCTTTTTGTAAAATAAAATCTGTATTTAGCTCTATATTTTTATGATCTGCACGGTATTTTATTTTGAAAAAATGATCACTTCCGCTGTTTTATTTTTACCTGCACTTGATCCAGTTGTAATAGTAAGGCTGTGAGGTTGCAGCACATTCTGAAAGACCTCCACAAATACAGTTAGAAACATTCATGAAGGAAAAAAAATCACATTTAATTAAACTTTATTTTGAAATCATCCAGTCTAATAACTCCGGTTTGTAAACCAGCACTGATTGATTTTCTGTGTGAACATTTTTATTACATAAACCCTGAAAAGYGATGAGCTCAGTGATGCTCGCATCCCTCAGCTGGTGGTTTGTAGTCATTTCTGTAGTTGTTCCATATTTTCAGTGCAGACAAATCTACTTTTTGATTCAAAACCTTTTATTCATACAAACAGTCTGAATGGAGAAATTATAATAATTAGTTACGGTGACACAAAACATTTTTTATACTTTAAATATTATCTGGAAGCTGTGACTGAAAATCACATAATCAGCTTGTGTTTAAAAAATAATGTTGACAGCCCTCAGGCCCCGCCCCCTCCTTATCCCTGACCAATCACTGGCTTTGATCACTTCCTGGAAGCAGGTTAAACTCTACATGCTGATGGCTGAACCTTTCAGGAAGTAAACCTGGCRGGTTTCAGACGGACCCCCCCTCCCCACAGAGGGGACCGGGCGGGGAGCCCCTCTGTTGTAAACACAAACAAAACAACGAGACTGGAAACACGCAGCTGCGTTAAAGTTACACGGCCGCACAAAGGGCCCTGCGTGATCACAACAYGCTGCAAACTGAAACCAAACCTGTTTGTGTCGCCGGGTTTGGTTTCCTGCCAGGTATTTGGTGAGCAGGTGGCGAATCCAGACACCTAATGCTCCAGGTGGTCCCAGGTGAGCGGCCGTGCAGAACCGGCGGTCTCTTTGACCTCATTGGTGGGATTTGTTGTGTTTATGATCCTTGTTGKGTTTTGCAGCTCTTGAGGCGTTGATGTTTTAAACCAAATTATTTTAGAGCTTTTTGCACAGAAGCAGGTTGATGTTTTAGATTTAGTCTTTGTGAAGCAGGATCTGTAATAACCTGAATTCTGTTTTCTTAACACAAACCTGCATTATCAGTGTTCATTAATCTGTTAGCAAAATATTTCATCAACCATTGAAGAGATTTTAGGGAATTAACTTTAAAAAAATAACCAAACATGTCTAATTAAACTTGGAGATATTCAGCTAAAACATGGAGGGTTAGTAGCTGAGAGTCATCCCCGACTCTTATGCTGAGCTCAAACAAATTGTGCAATATCACGTGTGATAATCTGAAGAAAACTGTTCACTTTTTCACAKAATTAAACTTTTTCTATCAGTGTTTACTATAAAAAAGGTAATAATCTTTGAGTTTTCATTCAGAGGGAAAAGTCTAACCCTTGAAGTCAAAGATTCCTGTCTGGTTATCTGCAGATGAACGTGGGACTCTGTCGGTCATAAACAGGAACAGGTTTATCGCTCTAACTGGTTTGTGTGATAAAGGGATTCCATGAATCACAATGAAAACCTGAAGCCGAGCCGCTTTTCTCCTGTCAATTATTCACCCGGGTGTCATAAGACCGAATCTGGACCTCGTAAAGTTTGGTCCCAAACAGATTCAGATGGTTTACGAGTCCAGCTGTGGACGTTTGGTCACTCTGGTGCGTTTAAATGAGTTGAACTCCATGTTTGTCGCTGCAGCAACATGCGATGCTTGGATTTATGCAAAGTGTTACGTCAAGTACAGAGAAGTCTGGTTAAGTGAAATTGTAACCCCTCAGGCAAATTTCTGTGAGCGGCAGCTTGACAAGGTTCACCTTTTGTGCTCTTTTATCCCCTGTGAGGCTGTTTCTCAAACTGGGATCGTTTTTTTTTGTTTTATGGGTTTTAGTTTGATTCRGGGCCAAGCAGAAAGATCAGAAAAAGGAAACAAAAGCTCGGCTCTGACTTGTTTTTTTTTTTAGCTTTCTTCTCCTCTCAGACAGGTCTTTGTGTAATTGTGTTGGTGTTTTTAAAGAGTGCTTTAACTCCGCCGTGTCGTGACAGCCACACGTTGCTCAACCTGTCTGAGCAGGGCCCGCATGGCTGTAAGGCTCCCCGAGGTGGGCCGGAGCCACCGAGGCCCGGATCTGATCCACGACGAACCAAGTAGAGTTCGATCTGCACCGATGGAGCCTTATCGATAGCTTCAGAGAGAAAACTCATTTAAATCAGCCCAGAATCGACTGATTTAAGTAAAAAAGATCCTCCAGTTGTCCATAAAACTCTGCAGACATCAGATATGTTGATTTTCATGCAGAGAAATAATCTGAGAGGAATCCTAAAGCAACTGTTTAATCAGAGGAACGTGTAGATTATATTCAGCTCCTCTGGAAGCTGAAGGTGCTGAAAATAACATCAGAATAAACCTCAAAATCTGCAGGACCCTCTTCAGATTCGTCCACAACTTACATTGAAAACATTTTCTTACTTAATTAAAATAATTTAAATCAAACTTCCTCTAGAGAAACCACAGAGCCTATTATTATTATTATTATTATTATTATTATTAATCAGTTTTTGTGGTGACATCCTTTTTCTGTTACTGTTTATTTCAAAATAAAAGTCTGGTTAAAGTTCATACAAAACAAACGTTTGTGTGGGAATGCGAAAGTATTGCGAGTTAACGCAAAGGTGTTTTAAGGTAGTGCAAAAGAAAAAATCCCCCCCATGTCCCCCCGCAGACTCCGTAAGAAACATAATTTTCTGTTAAAACAAAATCCAGTGTGAATATTGAGGGCTTTAAAATGAGCTGAAATCTGTTTAAAAATGAGTAAACTGAAACCCAAAACCAACTAAATCCTAAACCAAAAGCTAAAATTAGCAAAACTGTAAATTGCCTCCCTTTCTCAGCAGCTCAGCACCACCGAGTGTTTCCTGTCATTGAGGTCACCTAACAACATCCATCATCGTTAATGATTTTAACCGTAAAGCTCAGCAGCACAACATGGCTGTGGGCAGTTTTGGTTTAAAGCCTAAGGATTAGAACTCATAACTCATTCTGTTTTTGGGGTTTAAAACGAGAAGTCGTCAGAGTCATTAAAATGCTTAAAATAAACCTTTAAATTTTTTTAACCTCACCCAATTTAGAAAGCTTGAACAGAAAGACGAAGAGCTCCGAGTCAYGATTTCTGCTTCATGCTCGGCGTAAAGAAAACCAGACGTGATGTGTTCTAAATTAAATTACAATTAATGGTTTGTCAAATTATACATGTATGATTAAGGCTTGTAATAATAGCGTGATGACTAAAAATTTAAAATAATATTTGCACATAACCCTCTCATACTTACATTTAAAAAGTGAGTGTTTTGAAAGCAACAGGGGATTTTTCTTTGCAGCGACTCTAAACAAAAACACTCAGGAATGTTCACAAGGTTTAACAAAAAAAATTCCTTTTGTGACCTTTTCACTTGAAGAATTTCAGTAATTCTTCTGAAAACTTGTGTCCGTGTTTGTGGAGCAACATTCTGCAGCACCGGTTCTGTCGTTTTCTGCTCGTCTTCATCAGCAGGAAGGTTTTCTTCCATGAGCCTTCATCCAGCTGAGCTGAGAACCAAACGAGTCGTCAGGTGTCCAGCTGCTCCTTTAGGAGCCACTGACCACTGAGCTATGACATCATCATCATCGACATGACTTTTCAGAATTATGTTTTGTATAGTGGTATTAATTTATATTTTCAGATCTTCCAAGGTGCCADTTATGGAACTCTCTGTGCATTGTTGCCCAAATCAAATTCTGGAATTGGTCATTCAACTAGATCTGTTACAAAAGGACAACTGATATTACCAACTTTTAAAAACTGTTAYGGCCAGAGGTCTTTCTTCTATGTTTATACTAAAGCATGGAATGACATTCCTCAAAACATAAAGTCCATTTCAAAACTACAGCCCTTTAAGAAGAATCTTGTCTGCCATCTGCTGGACACTTTTTGTTGTGCTCATGTTTAGACGTCCGATTTTGCAAATGCTGCCTTTTTGAAATTTGGTATGCTTGTTTGTCTTTGTGTCTATGGTGTATAATGATGTGATTGTGATGCTGTAATTCTGAGTGTTTTATGTGCTGCAGAACAGGAACCTGCTGTAAAACAGCAATTATGCTGAGTCAGGCTTGATTTTTAATAATCTTTTCCTGTTAAATAAATCAAATCAAATCATCAGCAGCCCCGACCTGTTTATAGGTTAGAAATAAAAACTGCAGAAACACAGATTCTATAAAATCATGTTTTTTTTCTTTGTTGAACACGTATTGAACCATTCAACACACACTATGTATGGAACAATACAGATTTTTAACATTTATTTCATCAACTTGTCTTCTGAAGATGCTCTGTGTTGAAGGATCAGTGGATCTGTGTTCGACTACTCCACCTAGGCTSCATTGTGGAGCACAGATCCACTGAGAAACTTGCTGTTTCAGCAACATTTAATTTAAAAATGGGACTTCGGAGGTTAAACCAGTGATCATAATTAATTTAAATAAATTACAAGTTAAGAAGGACATGGGTATTTTTCTTTTTTGTATCAAAAGATATTGAATCTTGAGAATAAAGAATAGAAAAA